TTACTTCTATATTAGTACCTATGTGTTGTAGGCTTTATGTTCCATTTGCATAGTAGAGAAGATTTGTTGTATAAAGGCAAATATCCAAATCTGTAAAGAACATCGATCTGTATTGCCAGAATTATTCGTCTTCATAATGATTATTTTTCCGTTTTTAACATATAAAACGCGTCTTATAATGGTTAAGTGATCGTCACCTCTCGGTGCATAATCGGTTATGATCGTAAAATTTCCGATGTACATCGACTATTACGCTTCTTCTAGTTGGATGAGGATTAATGGGAAACATGATCTATACTGCGTTATGTGAAGTGGAGAGTTATGTAAGTGTAACTGTTTTATGGATTGTAATTGTTTCGTTTTTTCATATTTAAATCTTTTCTAAATCTATAAAGCTGTTAGAATCTCGTGATGTTAAGCTTACACAATGTGGAGAAACAGAAGGTTAACGATGACAATGAAGAGAAAGGGTAAAATTAATCAACCAGGGGATATAGACTTAGAAGACCTTTCAGGGGATGCTTGATTCTTAGGGTGGAAGAGTTATAGTGCAAATTCACATGTGCATTGCTACTAAGAAGACAAGCTGGATAGTTTTGTCATCATTTTTAATACCTAAATATTAGTTATATATTCACATTGGTATTTCAGCTTATAATTATAGTTCTACAATAAAATTTCCGAAAATTGGTGCCATGTTTTTAACTCATACAGAGTATACAACAGTTTAATACATTTATTATAATGAAACTTATAATTTAGTACTAGATGTTCTAATAACAAGTAAGGAACACTAACAGTTGTAGCTACCATTTCGTAAAGGGTATAAACAACGTTGTATATTAGTTATACAATAATTTAATAAAGCATATGATTTATAGTCACTATACGACAGTGTTACCAATACGCGTTTTTTTATACGATATTAACGTGTTTATCTGTCACATATATTATGCAATGTTCTTTAGAATTCTATAAAGAACAAAGAGCATTTCTGTCAGTGTAGAAACCGACTAAAAATTACCGTACGACCATATTTAGCCTAGCCAGTGCCATAATTGCTCTGTCTCTGGTGTAGTCTTTGGAACAGACAGTTTTCTTTTTTGTGTGCTTGTGTATCTAGTGGAATATTTAGTCAGTTAGGAATGAAAGTCATTATACCTACCAGGAAAGTCTAAAGTATAAAATTGTGTTGCAGTTTATTTGACATTTTTGTTGGAAGCATGCATAAGTATACACTTGGGGTGAAGAGGTCTTTATATCTTTAGCCTACCGACTATTCAAATCAAAACTGCAAGCGCTTTTTTTCGATGCAGTTAACATGAATGCGGCACTCATACCAGCATCGGATTATTTTATGCAACAAATGTAATTACGCAATAATTTGCTGCTAATAATTAAAGTCCAAACGGGCTGGGATAAATCAAAACAGAGAGTTTACATTTACAGCGGTATCAGACATTACGAATAAAACGACATTATGAATGGCGTGTCTATCAAATAGCGCACTGCAAGCCACATTCATAAATGTAGCGATTTATTTATGACGTGCCATCCTTAGATAATTTACGGGTCAAAGCATCAAGATAGCCGTGGTGGCCACACTTGCTCGCTTGTGGTTTTCATACGAATGTACGATGGATGCTCTTTTGTTCGCACTCGGCTTACAAGTTGCCGGCACTGTGTTCGGTGAGTCGACGTTCCATCGCGAGTGATTCCTTAAAAAAAAGTCCTATACAAAGGCTGCGTGTTGTTTTGAAATCCACTTCTAATTTATCTGAAATTCGTAAATTTCAAATAAATACTGTTTACTGATAAACAAGAAAAATATGTCATTTTTATGCGTCATAAGTTGTTTATTTATATTAAAATAATGGTAAAGTGGAATATGTATTTGAACCCTGACATGTTTTTGAACCGAGAATCGAGTAAATAAACAAGTAAGTCGTAGTGCGTAGATGAGACATTTCTTGTGGAATTATCAATGAAATAAAAAAATCAATCAACCAAGTTCATGTGTATAAAAGGAGCTATTAAGATAATTTTTTATATTTTATTGCTATGTAAACACGCAATTTACTGACCTATTATTAAAATTTTTAAAACATATTAACTTCTTGTTTGACAGTTTCAATTAAAAAATGATTTACTGTGGAGTTTATATCCTTTCAAGTTTTCGACAATTTGTAAATTATTTTTACTGCGATTAGAAATGCAATATATTACGGCACTTTCACAGTTTATTACAGTTATCAAAACTCTGGATTCCCGCCTAAAATAAAGTGTAGCCAGTCGCGACGCTTTCGTATCAGAAATTATCCTATGCTCCTCTTAACAAATCTTAACGAGATTGTTAATGCATAAAGCTTTATTAAGTCATTCTACATTGCTCGTTCCATTTAATTACTGTCTCTTAGTGTCTCTGTTGTGGTTCAGTTTAAGTAGAAGTGACGTAATGCGTTAAAAAGATGAATGTGAATTTTTTAAATTTAAAAAGAACAATCCAATTTGAGTCTCGTAAGCGCAATAATTCCATTAGAGAAATTTGCACAGCTCTAGCATTAAAAATTCCTGGTAATTGTTTTATTACTTTATTGCTTCATGAAAACTCGCAGGATAAAAGATTGCCGGAGTAAGCACTAATTTTGATACATTAGCACAACAATTAAGGTCGTTGGGCAAATTAAGGGATGATAAAAGAATGTAAATATGTAAATTCAAACTCATAACTGTGATTTGCTTTTAATTATATCGCTTATGTTAAAAAAAAACTGTTTAAAAACGTATTATTTTTTAAAGGTCGATTTATATTCTTATGAGCCTATCATTTTAGGTTAAAAAGTCTTTTAAAAGCAAAGTTCTACAACTTTTTAAGATATAGGGCGTTGAAAATGTTTAATCTAGATTAATAAAACTTGGGTTAATAGTGCTATCTATCTAATCAAGGACAAAAATTCAATAAACTGGCCCACACAATCTGTCAACAGCTGATGCGACGCAGGGAGTTTTAAAGACTCCTGAATATCATAATTATTATTTTTTTATAAAATAGTATAGGACTTGTTTGTTGTTGTTAAAAAATTAAATATGCTAATTGCAAGTATAACCTAACTAATCAGGAGTCTACACAAAATTAGTCTCGTCTAAAATTGTTAGTGTTTTTGGTTTTCGTAATTTTTTTTAGTATTTAATATTATATTTAAAATAATTCCCATATAATTTTTTTTGTGGAGCGAATAATTTTAAAAACATTTTAAATTTATTTAACTGTATTGTCTGATGTTATTTAGTTGTGGCATAGTTTCCGTTTTTTTCTTTATATTTACTGTGTGATAAATAAGGCTGTCAGAACTAAGCCGCGGGACATAGGCGTACCCATTATTTATTAAAAAGCAATAAATTAAATTGTCTACAATACACCACCATCACCAACGAATAGGAATTAATTACGCAATATCCGCACGATAACAAAGACAACAGTATATTAACGTAAGGTGAACGTGAAAACCATTCTGAGCCAGCAGCTCACGCATGTCATGGTTGACCAATTTGGCACGCCATTGAATTGCGGCTGTCTTTGGCAGCCCTAGTGATTTAAATTTGAAAAAATTGTAACTTGAAGCTTCAAAATGGTTCGCCTTTCAAATAAATCGGAAATATTCCTTATAACTAATTAGAAACAAAATGCACTAATTTAATTAATTACACAGTGGCGTCGAAATTCTGAACTTCCAAGCTTCATCAACCTTAGATAGACATTTTCAGAGATATTAGTGAACAAATATTCACTGCTGATATCCTTTATCATTTCTGTTCGTAAACGGGGTGAGCAATTCATAATATAAACAAATTAAATAAATAAATTAAATGATTAATAATTTGTTCTTTTTTGTAAATTTTATTTTTATAAAAAAACAATACGTATCTATATTGGGGTCTAACATAGTATATTACGTAAATAAAAAGAGATTTAACAATTCAGGTAAAAGATCCGAGAAACTAGAAAAAAACTGTTTTTCCGGTTCTTTTCCCACAATTGGAAAAACTGATTCTGAAATAAAAATAATTATTAATAAATACTTATTAAAATATTTTTCTATATACCTATATTTTGCTAGAATAATCCTGAACCTGTATGAAAAAATGTTTTAACAAAGTTTTTATATTCAAAATGCCCTATAACCTCAAATTATTAGGGTATAAGATCAAATTAACAAACAAATATAACATTTTATTTAAAACGACAAAAAGAAACAAAATCTTCGTTAGCAAACAACGAAATTAAAAAAAAAATGGTTCTTTGTAACTAAAAAAACGTTATACCAAATTTCAACAAAAAAAAAAACAAACTGGAAAACTGAGCTCAGGAAGAAAATATTGTTTTGCAAAGACGATCTTGCTCGTATTAAAAATATTCATAAGCTTTATCATTGTTTTAAACAAATTATTATTAAATGTTGTTTTTAATATAATTATTGCTCATATTAAACATATTCATAATCTTTATCATTGTTTTAAACAAATAATTATTAAATGTTGTTTTTAATATAATTATTATTTTTATATGTACAAACCTAGTGTCTAGAATCCTTTAAATATTTACGATCTTAACAAGAATTCAATTTTTTGAATTTTTTAATTTTTTTCGAATCATCAAAAAAATTATGCCTAATTTTTTTGAAAATTTTGGACCAAGAACAAATTGTGAATTTAGAAATTTTCAGAAAATATTAAAAATTGTACATTTGGGACTTTTCTTCTTTCATGTGCGTACTATTTGGTTGCGTTCAGGAATTTATGATTATGAGGTTTGTTAAGATTTTTGTGTATTTTGATACAAATATTTACATACCTATACTCCTCCTCTCATTTTAAATCTTTGGATGGGCTCACAAATCAGTGATTGGTGTGAAGGAGGGTTCGGTATACTATTATTCTACAAACAATATTTTACTCTTCTAGAACATGTTGTATTGACTGATTGATCTTTCTTGTTTCAGACATCCCCTATTTCCCCTACTGGCCCTAATTTTTGAAAAATGTGAGCTAGCGACATGTACGCCTAGAGAGCCCGGAGTCGCGGGGGGAGACGTGTGCTCGTCAGAGTCTTTCAACGAGGACATAGCAGTTTTTTCAAAACAGGTAAGTAGCCCTGCTCCCTTTACAAACGGCAGCCCAACAGTTGGCGGCGATAATGCGGTTGGAAACCGGGGGGTGTATGTTTGAAAAAGTTGTACAGGTTTATTATATAATTATCTCGGGTAGGCAGTATGTTTTATTATATTTTATTTGCTCTTGATATCCAACGGGCTTATCAGTTTGATTACCTTATCGCCTTCGATAAACACGAAAACACATGTAAAACATCTTTAGAATTTATATTATACTCGAAATAGCGATAAGGAATACACGCAGTGAATCGCTTATGCCGGGAGAGACCACTAGTCACATACTTATTTACGGCGCAACGCTGAGTACGGCCTTTTCGTCCGCTTGCGACCGTCCTCAAGTATGGGCAATGGCAATACTTGGAAACGTGTTCATCTAATCCGTCGTAGAGATTCTGTAATTGAAGTAATAAACCCCATAGAGATTCCTTACACGCATAAAACCATTTATGAAATGCCTCTTTACTTGTTTGTTTCTGAAATTTAATATATTCCACTATTAGTATTCTCCTTATTTATCGTGTCCGTTTAGCATTCACCGGACTCCGCTGAAATATATACAGTAATATTCATTAAAAAAATATCACTTAACAATAGTAAGAGCGATTGGAATATGAATAGGGAATCTCTTCCACGTTTCACTCCGTTTACAAATAAAAATACACATGTCTGTAATAATGCTACAGAAATATTTACTTATTTACTAGCTATTCGATAACACGAGTTTATATTCAAAGTTGTTTGTCAGGTTAACCATAACCTTATTGAATTTTATCTCATGTGTAGTGATAAAAATACTGCTGCTTCTGTATTGATCTTCTACTTAGTACACAGGGTCTACGTCTCTTATAAAAGATCCATTTACTAGGGGTTTTTTAAAATAAACATTGTGTAAAGCAGAACGTAAAAATGCCATTTGTACCTGATGCTCAACGGTTCGATTCATAATGTTTCAGCGGGACGATTCGAATCCAAATAACTGCTAAGATTTCCGAATTAGAACCCCGAGTTCAATCACATTTTTACTACTTTCCTTGTCTTCAGCACTTATGAAGCATGTTTGTACACAGAAAATAATATCTAATCAAGAATATATTTTCTTGTAAGTTCTCTTGAACCGAGAAAATATTTAAAAAAGTTTTACTTCGCTCAAGGTTATTTTATACTCAGACTCAAATAAACATTTCTTTGATTTAAAAAATTTCGGCAAAAATAATACTGAACTGATGATTTTATTAAAAAAATAAGAATTGTGAACGTTTATTGCATTTACGTTACATCGTATTTATTGGATATTTAGTCACCTGAAGAAAATTTTCAAAAATCCCTAAATAAATCATTGTATTTCAATAAAAAATTATGTTTATTTTTGCCTAACTATAAGTCTCAGACCGAAAAGTAGATAAATTAGAAATGAAAAAGTATACCTACATTGCTATATCACAGCATTTCAATAATTGAAATTATATTTAACCTTTAGAAATACCATTTTTTTGTCTTTATTTTTTTCTATTTTAACTACGTACCTATATTAGATTACTGAAGGTGAAATATAATAATAATATACATTGTCTAGCATCAATGATGCAAGATAACATTTTTTCCGTGTAACTTGTTGATTATTCCGAAGAAGGGAAGTCTCAGACTATAAAAAGTAGATAAATTAGAAATAAAAAAGTATACATTGCTATATCACAGCATTTCAATAATTGAAATTATATTTAACCTTTCGAAATACCATTTTTTTGTCTTTATTTTTTTCTATTTTAACTATGTACCTATATTAGATTACTGAAGGTGAAATGTAATAATAATATACATTGTCTAGCATCAATGATGCAAGATAACATTTTTTTCCGTGTAACTTCTTGTTTATTCTGAAGAAGGGAATAACCTCTCGACGATTCGAAAACAGTTGCTAAACACTTCGTGTGTGAAGTTTCCATTGATATTATAAAATTATTTTTATCCATGGTTCATACGTGCTAAAAATAATGTGCTATCTACTTGATCGTGCGATTCGATTAGGCACAAAATCGATTTTTAAACTTTTACTTAAGATAATACTTTGATAATAACTCGTAGATTTTCAATACATCTTAAACGAGTATAGGTATTTTAGCAGGATATAAAAATAAGTAACAATTCCTTGGCAATTTCTTGGAAATACGGCATCTTAATCAGGAGACAATTGTTTTTCTAAAAAAATTTGACTTGCAAGTAATATTTCATAATAAATAAAGGTAATATGATAACAAATACATTATAGGCCAGGAAAATGAACTGAGAAATGACCATTTTGCGCCTTTTTGTTTCGGCAAGCTGAATTCATCACTATAGATGCTAAATATTAGATACGTACAATAACATATTAGTTTCCACAGTCATAAAAATGGGGGGAAGATTGTTTACAAGCTGGTTAATTGTATAATTTTTAAGTAAATTCACGTTTTTCGCTTATAACTTTTTTCCGTTCATTTCCACGAGAACACAGTAAAGTACTTTTTTTTCGTCTTCAAAAGACCTACAAAACAGTTTGGAACTCCGTTGTTTTTCAACGAATGTTGACGATTTTTTTTTAACTTCAAGTTCTTTTCATAAGCTTTCCGAATATGTAATAATATATAACTATATCGCGCGTGCGTCGTATATTTCATTTTGCAACTAAGGCTAAAAAATAAAAAAACTTTCCAGGTTGCAAATTTGAAATTAAAAAAAAATGATAGATTTCAATGTATTATTATGAATGAAAAAAATCAGTGCGATTGTGGAAGATGCTCGGGATCGTCCAGACTAATAATTTGTTAATTTGTTTATTATAAGGCCATAACTTGTAAACTTTTCAACTTACCGATTCCAGATTTCGTGAGTTATTAGACAGTGATAAAGAATGAAAGAATGTGATGCCAAAACGTTCTGGTAATAATAACGCAGTTTATAAATGTTTAATTCAAAAGTCATAAATAAACTTCTTCTGTTTATAACTTTTGGTCTAATCAATATTTTTTGACGCTTGAGGTTTTGTAGGTCTTTTGAAGACGAAAAAAAGTACTTTACTGTTTTCTCGTGGAAATGAACGGAAAAGAGTTATAAGCGAAAACCGTGAATTTACATAAAACTTATACAATTAACCAGCCTGTAAACAATCTTCCCCACATTTTTATGACTGTGGAAATTAATATGTTAGTTTTACATAATATTTAGCATCTATAGTGATAAATTCAGCTTGCCGAAACAAAAAGTCCAACTCTATATTTCCTGGCCTATTATATTTCTCTTTAAGTGCAATTCGTTTGTTTTCCAAATGCTTGTTTTGTGGTTGGAGACATATCTAGAAACACAAAAATCAAATTGCATTTGAACAAATTCCATCGCAAAAATTTGTGTAGGTACTTCATTTTATAAATACAAATATTCAATAGGTATGCATTTCTTTTAAACGAACATGACTTGTTTTGTTTTGATTAGAAAATACATAATTTGGAATTATTCGAAAATATACATTTCATACATGATTACAATAATTAAGACAGTCTTTTTGCACAGAACGAAGGAAATATTATAATAATTTTTTTTCGTGAATTAGTTTGATTTCTCCTAGTTTTTCTTTATTTAGATATTAGACTACGTATCCACCAGCATACAGAGTGTGTGAAAATTTTATTAAGACTCGTTTTTCTGCGTTTATTAAAACAATGGCCAAATTAAATCATTGTTACGATGATTACGATTTATGCTTTCCCCAGAGACATTGCAACTGCTAAATTAAAAGCAGCATTATAACCACATCCCAACTTATCGAAGTGGCTCTCCTGTTTTATCGCCCATTTGATCTAGGTAGGCTATTTAACGAACCTGCCCGACGTTTCATTATCATATCCACTTATCGAAATCTTCAGAGCAGCGTATGAGCGCCCCACAAATCAACGCGGGAAAAGATGTTTCCCTCTTATTATTCCAAGTTTTCGAGTGTTTTCATTTGTCGAGGACCGCAAACTTCGACCCCAGGTCGTGTTTTGTAAACAAATCTACCGAATGATAAATAATAATGAGACTATTATCCAGTGAATCACATTTCGCCCCTTCTAACCCGCCTTAAGATGGCCACATAACCATTAAAGAGCCATTTTCCCCGAGTTTTACGTCTGTGGCATGTATCCCGTAAAGCGAAGCACCTTTTCATGCGGCTTTTACGTTTCTGTTAATTTTTCCTGAGCTATTTTATTCGCATTGATGGGCCGCCCGGTTTTTGACTTTATAATTAGGAGGCACCCCTTTGTTTGTGCGCAGCCGTTCAGGATAAATCAGGGGTATGAATTTGAATGTACGATTTAACGTATTATAATGGAAGAATAAATAAATAGAGGCAAATTTACACATTCAGCTGTTAAGAGGTGTATGGGGGAGAGTTTCCGGTTACAGTGGGGTTTTTAAATAGTTCGGGGAGAGCTTTAGAACCCTCGGTACAAGTCATCACCGTTGTCTTGGAGTTAGGAAGCAATTAAAGCGGAATTTCGTTGTGAGTTTTCAATTTAACGGTGCGGATAGGGGCTTACATTACTGCGCAACTACTTTTTTTAGCCACAGTTTGAAAGGCGAAAGCGTATTCCAGACATAGTTAAATTTATTAATTAATATAATTTGAAGGGTGAAAATTAGAAACGTGACAAAAATGAATTTCTGGAAAAGAAAGTGATACTTAATTTAATTTTACTATTTGTAAATACATATATTTAAAATTGATTTTTTCTCTATTTGGGTATTTTGCCGTTTGCTAAATAGAATATTAATTTTACAAAACTCTGCGCCAAAAGATCAATCAAATTAATCAATTTCGTGAAACCATGCCTGTCTAGATAAAAATCTCACTGAAAAAAGCAAACAAATAAAAAAATACACGGATCTAAATTACTTAACATTTCAAAAAACAATCTGCTTTCCTTGTCAAAACTAGGAATCATGCTTAATATTGAA